CCCCAAAACCCCAAAACCCCAAAACCCCATGTGATTAAGTTTAAGGCAAGTATGTTTTCTTTTCAAAAAATTAATACTTTAAATAATGCATTAAATTTTCATTTATATAAATAGCCAACATATTCAAATATAGTTTGAGCTGAACTCATTAGTGGTTGAATCGCTATCACTTGATTCGCATATATAGTTCATAAATTTCTTTTTAACTTATGGTTATTTAGTGCAGCTGAAAACATTCAAGTTAGTCTTGCTTATTTATCTAAGTTATCTAAGTCTGTCTATTTCGTTTTGATTTTTTTCTTTATAATTTAAAACTTCTTAAAGTGGTCTTGATGGATCAGTAGTTCTGTACAAGCTTTCATTGTTTGAGAATAAATCGCAATCATAATCTCTTTTACCTTTAATCATACTAACGGGAGAAAAGAGATTTTACTAGCTAAATATCTTGCTGAGCTAAGTTTGATGGATCTATGATTTTTCAATAGATATCTAAAGTACTGGACTAAACTAATCAATGCACTTCTTAATTTTTTAATTTTTCTCATTTGAAAGTAGCATATTCTCTTTGTTTTATTTCAAAAGGTCTTTCTTGCTTTGATTTTTTTATTTCTTAATAAAGTCCAGAGATTATTTAAGGTTGCTTTTCATCAGCTCTATTCTTGATGGTTCCTTTTGCATAATCAGATAAGACATTTAGGATTGATTTGTAGATAAGTTATTCTCTTTTACTTAATATTGCTTTAATTAGTTCATTCCATATCTAGATATAGAATTATTTGACTTTGATCTTGACCTAGATCTAGCGCTAGCTTAAGAAAGTGATGACTTCCTAAATTCAGCATTTTTTTAAGATTTGACATTTTTATTTCTTCTCTGATTATCAATCTAGCTCTAGATATTGACAGCTCTCTAACCTATTCTCTATAATTATATAGAGCTGTTGACTACATTCGAATTGAAGTAAGTGTTATTTAAATTTTTTGCTTTAAATCCGTAGTAGCAATTATTTTTTATACTTTCTCTTTTATTGGAATCGGTGGATTTCTTGGAGAAGCTTATTTCATGTCTGGAGCCAGCATCCTCCTAATCAGCAAATCTAACCCTTGAATTATTCATTGAGTTATCCCTCTTATTGCTGAAACTTTATCTGACTGAAGGGGCTTTTTGGTAATTGCCACTGACATTTGTTGAAATCATGCTTCCCATTGTCATTGTTCTGGTTAACTTTGTCTGCTACTCTTTTCGCTCAAATTCTTCTTAATGCATCTTCAACTACTTGGATTACATTTTGATATTTTTCTCAAGACGTTTTATCTCCTCTGCGGCTCTCCTAGAAGTTTAAACATGTCTTTGTATCTACTGTAGCATTTCTTTCTCTGTTTTCGAAGGTATATTATTATTGGTTTAATATTTGCTTGTCACTACATCTATTTTCTTCTTCCTCTAAGATTTTTAGGATGTGATGTTCTTTTATGAGGGCGATAAGCAAGAGTTATTTCTGTTTGGAGATAAAAATACTTTCTTAAGCCTTTCTTCTCTGATTCTGAGAGGTTAGATCTTAAGGTTTTGCAATGAATGATTATTTTTAAGTGAGGGGATCTGCTTCCTTGAGACAGTTGAATTCATTAAAGAGAGCTGTTATAAATTATAATATTTAAATTTTATTAGTAAATTAAACTTACTGAAATTATATCAAATTTAATAAAAATCTAAGCTAATCTAAAAAAGTATATGGTGGATACATCTTACCAGAAGAATATGAGAAGTTAAATTTAATTTCTCATTTAGTCGTAATAAAGAAGTAAAAGTGCTTAATGAGGAAGATTCAATGATCACTAGAGAACTAATTCATTAAGATTTAATAAAGAAGGGTACATTACAGATATGTTATCATAAGTGAAGGATTCAAGATTTAAGAATTCTAAGAGTCCAATTTCTATCAAAGATAACATTATCATTCAAAGTCCAATAATAGTCAAGGAGTTCATTAAGAAGCAAGTTAAAGATGGAGAAAATAGTAAGAAAGATGTTCTATTAATTTCTGAACTGCTCAAATACAAAAATAATCTATTAGAAATCAAGAAATTTCCAAGAGATAATGTTGGAAATAAAGACAGACTTGTTATTATTAAACCCTCGGAATCTCAGATAAACAGTTAAAGTATCTATAATTCTATTGCTGATAAATTAAACAAAATGAGTTCCATAACCTCCATTAAGAGCTCTGAAAGAAAAGCAATAAACATCAATGCTATGCTTAGCAGTTAATAGGAATCATTGACACAGCTAGGTGGTAGTTTCAAGATTGATCCATCCTCATAATAGTTTAGATTAAATTACAACTTCTTAAATGAGTCTCCCAGCTTCAAAGATCCCACATTTGCAAGGAGCATCAGCAAACAGAAAATTTAGTTTCCATTTGATAAGAATAAATCTTCCCACCGAGCGAAAACTCCAACTAGAAATCATCACACATATCTTGATGTTCTAAATAATAAACACAGCTTATAAACAACTTCATGAAGCAAGTAAGGCTAAGGCCTAAATATGAGTGCGAAAGATTACAATATTCACTAATTCATGACAAAAATCTAATAAAAACAAATGAGCCCATCTATTAGAAGTAGAAGCCCCCTATACTCTTCGATTAGATCAAAAGCAGCTGAAGAGGATGATATATCAGAAAATAATATGAAAATTCTAGATCCCTATTGCCCCAACTAGGATCTTGACCTGAAAGTTACCTTGAGGTGAAGTATAAATTTAAACAAAGCTTGCTAGAAACCATAAGCTGACCCTGATGTAGTTTAAAACTTAATGCAGTAAAATTTGGAATAGATGAAAGATGATAAGGTACAATTAAAGTATAGAGCCTATTTAAGGCAGGTCAATATAATTAATAAAATGAAAACTTATCTCTATGAGAATAGCTTAGTAATGAATGATATTAGTAAGGCAAAACTTGCAGTAAAAATAGACATAATGGAGAAAGAATTAAAATTCTTTGAAAATAACTATGGCTAATTTGATTACTTATGATCTTCAAACTTAGAAGTTGATGGAAAAGGAGTTTAAAATGGATAATTATTTTTAAGATAATTATGAAATTAAAATTAATTAGTAAATCTGATTAAGCTATAATTTTTAATTAATATCCAATTCACTTCAAAAATTCTGAATATTAAGAGGCATACCGAATCTGCTATCAGCTATAGCCATGCCTAAGATGTTTGAATGCTTTTAATCTTAAATAGGGTTCAATTTCACATGATTGTATGTCTTGCTCACTCCCATTATTCCATTTCCAATTAAATTATTAGCTCTATGGTTAGAGGAGTATATTAGTTCTTGTCTTAATCTGGATCCAGATGCTTTAATCTACTGATTCTATTTATCTAACTCCTTAAGTCTCAAATTCATAAACGGTATTTTTGCTCCGTTCATAACCTCTGATTTTCCTCTTTACTTGTATTGCCCAATCTCATTATCCGCAGCTTAGGGTGATTAAACAATTCCTAAGGGCCTCTAACTTTTGTCTCTGAGTTTTTACTAGGCAGTTTAGATTTTGTGCTATTAATTGATTTTTACGCTTGAAGATGAACTTAAAGGTTAACTCTAATTATCTTGAGTAATAGCATGAAAATTAGGTCTGTTTGAATTCAATTAGGTTGCTGGCATCATACTACCTAAAAATCCAGTTCTAGAGTATTTGCTGGCAGATCCTACTATACTATGCTGATCACTATTATACGCTCCGTTACCCATTCCTAAGCTCTGTTGAATCAACTTTGACAATTACATTTTATTTTGTCCCTAGCTTATACCTGAGATTTGTCTCTGTTCTTGAAATTTTTAATCCGCTTATGATATTAAATTCTAGAATTTCATTCCTTAGGTGACTAAGAGATTTCCAGTCTGAACATTTTCTTTTTATGATTTTTACTATCTCAGGTCTTTTTCAAAAAGTAGGAGTTACTTTCTAAAGCCATCGTTAGGATTTATGAAAGGTCTTTTGCTTTTTACCAACTTAATGGCAGCTGAAAATGAAAGTCCATGTTCAAGCATTAAATATGCAATTACTATTGTAGCACTTCTGGATACTCCAGCATAACAATGAACAAATACCTTCCCATTTTTAGAGACTGCATCTTGAATAAATTATATACAAGGCATAAATCGTTATTTGAGGTTCGTTGAGGGTAAATCGAGCACTTTCACGACCTTATATGTGAAACTGGAGGGGAATTTAGGAGGGTGATCCTTTGCAACTGTCAAGATATGAGTGATTCCAGTTTTTACCAATAAATCTTTGTTAGAGGCGGCCATTAAATCCCCAAGGTACAAATTTTCTAAAATTAAGTCCATCTCTGACGCAATCGGTGAAATTATTGAAAATAACTGTATATTATAAACTTAAATTACTCTGAATCGTGACTTTAAATTCAAATCATAATTATTAAGACCTATAATAATTTAAAATTTTAAAAACATTCCAGAAATGGCTACACTTAGTGATCCAGTAGTGATGATAAATCAGGGATGGGAGAAGATAAGAGTGAACGCAATTTAGAAATTAGAAAATTACTTGAACACAGGAAATTCTTAGATTATGTTTACCAAGAAAGAATACATGGAATACTATACGTAAGTTTTATCTTTATAGCATACTTATTCAACATAAATTCTTCAATTCATGGGCTCATTCTAACATCACTTTCTTTAGGATAGTATTTAATTTGAGCACTTTGAAGCAAGAGAATATCTAATAATAGCTGTATTAAAAGTACACCGATTCAATCAACTTATACCTTTCGCAAAATGTACTTCAAGAATTGTAGAAGCTTCATAATGATGAGTTACTTGAAGCACTAAATACCAGATGGATAAATCATGAAATAATGGTGAAGTGGATGCAAAGATTCTTTTAGTACCTGGACAGATTTTATGTACAAATCAATTCAATAACTCCACTCAGAGATCAAGGTTTTAAGATATTCAAGGGTGTTATATTCCAACCACTTATATCTTAGATTACCGATGCAATTTTGGAGAATATTAGAAGAGAAAGAGAAGGCGAATTAGTGGATGTAGATTTACTGAAAAAGACCATCGAAATCTATCAATTTTTAAGCAATGAAAAATTAAGTTAAGAGACTCTAAATTGCTAAAAGTATCTTGAAGATAAAATTCTACAATAAACCCAATAGTTCTATTAGATGTAGAGCTAGAATTTACTGTCCAAAGCAAGTTTATCTGAAATTCTGCACATCACAAATAAATACTATTAAGAAGAGATATAAAGGTGTGAGAATTATTTGATTTTTGACATCAAGGATAAATTGCTCAAGGAGTTCTAGTAGGAAATGCTCTTAAATCATTAATAAGGGTTATTAGAAAGAGAGAGTGGCATTAAATATCTACTCTAATAAGATAAGTTTGAAGATTTAGGTCTTCTATATTAACTTTATCAAAATCATCCAGCCAGCTTGAATCCGATAGCAAATGCTTTTAAAGATCACATATATTAATAAGGAGAGAATTTAGTTGAGAAGTTTGACTTTTCAGAAGATGTAAAAGATCATAATAAGATGAAGGAATTACTTAAATCAACCTAGTTAGTTGAAAATCTGGTCAGTCTTCTTGATAAATACTTATATATGGTTAAAAACTGTTTCTAACAAAATGCATTTTTTGAAAGAACTAGGCACTCTTCTTTCGAGGCATTTATGAATAAAAATAGAGATACTAACAGAGTAAACATGTCTGAAGTACTCGCTGTATACACAGATATCATTTTAAGAAAAGGTGGAATCAAAATTGAAGAGGCGAAGCATGAGGAATACTTAGAGAAAATTGTGAAGCTATTCACTCATCTTATAGACAAAGATATATTTATTGAAGTCTTCAGAAGTTATTTAGCTAAGCGTTTATTGATTGAAAAATCACAGTCTATTGATTTAGAGAGATCCATGATTTCATTTGTAAAATTATCATGCGGACCTTAGTTTACCAAGAAGCTAGAGGGTATGCTTACTGATCTCTCATTAGCTGCTGATGAATAGAAGAAATTTGAGATTCACTGCTCCTCGAGTAGTCAACTTCAACAAAATAACATCTCTTTTGGCATTACGATTCTAACAACCAGTTATTGGCCCACATACAAAAGTTTTGACATTCAAATTCCAAGAGAGATTGACTCCTGCATGAAAAATTTCACTCAATATTATACCTCTAAACATAATCACAGACAGCTATAGTGGTGCTACTCACTTGGTAGTTCAACTCTAGGAGCTAACTTTTAGAGGACAGGAAAGCAGTATGATTTTGTTGTAGGAACTTATTAACTCTGTATACTTATGCTCTTCAACTATAGTCAAGAACTGAGGTACAGAGATATAAAGCAGGCTATGAAATTTGATGATGAAACTTGTGCCAAAAATCTCAAGAGTTTAATGACTGCTAAATGCAAGTTATTAGAAATAAGAAACGAAAAATCTGGAGGCAATTTCAACGAAGATGATGTCATTGCAGTAAATGAGTTATTTACTTCACAGTTAAAGAGAGTTGTATTCCCAACTCCAGTACTTGAAGAAGTCTTTAAAAAGGAAATAGTTCAAGAGGATAGATCTATAGCTATTGAAGCTTCAATCGTAAGAATAATGAAAAGTAGAAAGAAGCTAGATCATGTAAATCTTGTTAAAGAAGTCCTACAAACTCTTCAATTATTTAAGCCATCACCATAAGTCATCAAAGAAAAGATCGAGCAACTAATAGAAAGGGAATATCTAGAAAGAGACCCAGATGATAAAAGTATCTACAAATATTTAGCTTGATTGGTATTAAATTAAACTGTTACAATAAATATTCATTCACTTACCAGCTCTGATTGCATCAAAACTTTTTCTTTAAGGGGTTTTGGGGTTTTGGGGTTTTGGGG